AGGCAGAGCGTTTATACTGAGCCGACATGAGAAATGCGCAAACGACACGCCACCACCCATCCCCCATTTAAAAACAAAAAAAAAAAAAACATTTGAACCAACAAATATGCGCAACGTCGAGACGATAATGCCATTAGTTTTAACGCGCGCGGCGCCGAGGCGAGAATGTGGTTTTTGAGAAATGGGACGCCGTAGACCGCCACTTGAGAATCCCCCGCCCTCCCCATCCTCGCCCCCCCCCCCCCCGCCGCGCGTTGCCATTTTGGCTCGAGCACCTCGCCCGTTTTGTTTCGTCTTGGGAACGGTGGCCCGCGGGCGCATGATGTCGTGCGCCCCCCGTCGCTGCTCCGACGGGCGATGCAGTCGATTGGCCGGGGCATCGCGCTGCGCCCCAAATTTGCCGCGACGAAACGCGCGCGCATGCTAGGCGCTGCGCCGGGCCATGACCGCATCTCGCGCCGCGCCGTGGAGTCGCGAGCGCATCTTATGCGGTCGCGACAATGGGTGAGCGCATAAGTGGCGCCCACACCCGCAAACTCATTTAAATGCCTCTGCTGCGCCCTCGTCAGCGCCGAGTCGGCGCCCACCGCAGTGGATAACGCGACGCCGCGCGAACCGGCGAACCTCCTGGGCTCTAATGGCCCCCTCGCAATGGGCCTGCGTATGCGGAGCGACCGCGTGCCACTCCAAGAAGCCCTTGTCGTTCGCGTCCAGCAAGCGGAAGGGGCCCGGCGACCCCTGCCTCTCGGCGACCCTCTCTTCCCGCGAAGCTCCGACAAACGGTCGGCACTTCAGCGGATCCTTCCTGGCCAGGCTGCGGCCCGCCGCGGGGCGCCTGCGCCCCCCCGGGCCGAGGCGGTTGACCACGCGCTCTCGGCCACCAGCGTCTCGAGCCCCCATCGGCGACGTCGAGCTCGGAAGGGGCCCAACCGCGCTCGATCTTTGAACCCGCGGCAACAGACAAAGCGGCCACTCGACGGCAGCACATCAGCAACGAGCAGGCGGTCGCCCCCCTCTCCCCAGGGCCGGTGCCGCCCCGAGATTGTCACCGAGCTTTAGGTGACGATGTCCGAAAGCGCCCTGGCTCGCGGCGATGTGCCTGGAGGTCATGTTAGCCGCCCCGTCCTCCACGATGGTGATGGGTTCTTCGACGTGAATCCTAGCCGAGACAACCTGCCCCCAGTCATGCTCCTAGAGAGCCCCGCGAGGCACATGGCCGAAATCGGGGTTGAGCTCCCAGGGGTCACGCTGGTGGTCCCCCTTGGAGATCTTCGGGGCCCTCGCCGCCAGGATGTCCGAGGAGACGTCCAGGTGTTCCTGTGGGAGCCCCTGCGGGGCCAAAGCTGACGCGCGCGCTTGAATCGGCGAAGGCGCGCGGCGCCTCCATCTTCCACTGACTGACCCGCTGCTCTTGACCAGCTGCGGCGGGAGAACTGCTTGACAAGCGGCCGCGCCCAAAATTCCAGCTCCGCAGCGCGTCGCGCAGGACTCAGCGGCAGCCTGGGACCGGCGACCATCAGCGGTAGCAGGCGACGGCACTGCGCGACTTCGCGCGCGGCGGACGGCCAGAGACGAGCTCGCCTGCTGTTGCCAGGCCCTTGCGAAATCGCACAAGTTTCTGATGGCGCAGAGCAACTCCCTCCTCGCCCAGACATGGTCAATAATATGCCCAATGAATCTCCCCACTTCCTTCCCAATAACTCTCGGGCGCCGCTGTAGCCGCGGCGCCGCCTGACACAGGCGCTCCGCGCGCTCGGCGCTGGCGCCGTCAACGAAACGTCCGAAGCTGGTGAAGGTGCCGGTCGCGCCCGCCACATCATGGGCACGGATTCCGCGTCGTCCCCACTCGGCGCAGATCGCGTTCAGCCGTGGGTTGCCGCGGCCAGGGCCCGCGCAGATGACGTTGATGCCATCCCAGCAGGGGGGGGGGGGGGGGGCAAGGCTCGCCACCGCCCAGCGGAGGGGGCGGGGCCGCGATCGGTCAGCGCCCTGGAGGCACCACGGCCAGAAGCGAGGCAACAGACGCGCACGTTGGCGCGCTGCCCCAACCAGAATGCCAAGGACTAGCCCATGGGGGCGACGCGGAGGAAGGGCCAGACCCAGCCCCCTGAGGCGCCATCAGGAGCGCCCACCGCCCCCACCCCCCATTGCGACAACGCGGCCTCCGAGACGGGCGGCTGAGAGAAGTGCGGGCCGATCTCAGGCGGGAGACCGAGCGCGTAGAAGTCGTTCCTGACGTCAGCCTGCGCGCATAGAGCTCGGTTGCGTAATCTGCCGCATCGTCGCGATCACCAGGTAGCTGGGTGCGCCCGCATGCCGCGGATGTCCCCGTCGAAAGCGGCGGGGGGGCACGGGGCCTCCTGTTCGCGGCCCCTGCGCCCCAGACGAGTCTCTGGGCACCGCTCTTCTTCGCGACGAAGAAGGGCGCCGCCGAGTCCTTCGGGCGGGAAGTGAACCCGAGCACGTTGGCCTTCAACAAATTAGAGATGGACATGTGATAGGCGCCAAAATCCGTCTTCAAAACCTCATCCATGTTCGGGGCGGCGGTTGGCTCGGAATCGAAGACTCTTGACCACTCGTCGGGCGCCTTCATCATCCCACTCTCGTGGCCCAGCACGTAGCACCCCCCCGTTTGGGTCGAGCGCCGACTCGACCGCAGGCGCGGCCGCGTCCACTTCTGGAGTGTCCACTCGGGATCTGACGCGCTTCGCAACGGGGCTCGGTGCCTCGCCACCCGCGCATGACAGGCTGGCTGGGTGCCAGGAGCTCCTTAAGCGGCCCCACGGCGAGAGAACGGAATCGAAGTAGTCGACGCACTCCTGACTTCGTGCAAAACAGCGGCAGCTGCAAAGGCGCTGAGCCGCCGTGGTCTGACCTCGCTGCTCGCGCGGCGGGTGGGGCGAGCCAAGGCCCGCAATCGCTTCGTTGACGAGTTGCTCCGCGCACCGTCTGTGCGCCTGCCTCCTCCATCGTAGAAGTCGAGACTGGCCCCTCCGCGGGCGGCGCCGGCTGAATGAAAGGCAGCGGGGGAAGATTGCGCTGGCGATCGATCGCTGCCCGGGGCGGAGGAGACCCCCCACCCTCGGACCTCGTGCGTCTTTCGACGCGTCCGTCAACGGCCTGTTGGCAGCCGCGGGTCGGCCAGCTCCCGCGGCGCGGGGTCGCCATGACCTCGGCCGCCCCCGCTTGGGCGGGGTCGCCCTTGCCGCCGCCCTTCGAGCCGCGCCGCAGCTTCTGCTCCTCCTTCGCCTTCTGAGCCTCCTTGATCACGGCCGCCTGGTCGCGCAGGTTGGCGGCCGCGCGCTTCCGCGGGGCGGGCGAAACGGCCGCGCCTCCACGGTGAGCAGCCCAGCCCACGCACTCATCGGCCGCCGAGTGGTCTGGAGCTGAATGCGACACAGCGTGGGCGGCCTCGATCACGTGCAAGCGACGGCACACCAGCTCCACGCTCTGGAGCGCGGGCGCGTTCAGCTGGTCCACGATGATGATTGCGTCCAGCACGCGGCAGACGATTTCGAGCTCGTGCGTCGAGCGGTCGCCCTCATGGATGCACCCCGCCCCCAGCCAGTTAGCGCGATGCGTGACTGGCGCGAGGCGCGCATCGCGCCCCGACCTGAGCACCCAGAAGCACGAGGGCGGCCCATCTAGCATCTAACCCGTTTCAGGCTCATCTGCCACCTGGAGATCCACCGCTTCTGGGAACGGGCGGCGCCGAGTGCCCTCCTGGCTGAAATTCCCGGGGGAGGGGGGGCGCGCAAATCATCGATAACGGAGGCGTCGGCCTCCGCCGCGGGCACCAAGCGACCCGTGACCCAGCCCCCAGGAGCAGGGCCCAGCGCGGTGACCCCCTGGATGACAGCATCTGGCGGCAGGAAAACGGCCAGCCTCTTTCCGCGGCGCAGACCTCCGAAATCCTCCGTGGTCAGCCAGACAACAGGCGCCACGGCGGCAGCAGGAGCAGGAGTTCCCGCGCGGGCGACCACTCCTGCCTCGCCGCCGTGCCGGACCGCGGGGGCGGCCGCGGCCCCAGCCGCGGCGGGGGCGGCGCCAGCAGCTGCTGCCGCAAGGGGCCCGGGAGCACCACCCCACCAACAAGGCACCGTCCCGCTTGAGCTGTTCCAGCTCCGCGACGGTGGGCAGCGGACTGACGCGGAACACCTGGGGCGGGCTGACTCCTGCGAGCGTCGCCCACTGCGCTCCTGACCAGCGCATCTCCGCCAGGTCATCGCAAGTGGTGTCGTCTGAGCAGTGGCCCCCATCGGCTGTCAGCGTCGCCGCCAGCCCTGGCACTGCCTGGGCGACCCCCGTCGCCAGCCTGGCCGAGCCATTCCTTCCTCAAGGATATCATACCGAATCCGAATGTACTCACCTGGCCGAGCCATTCCTTCCTCAAGCGGAGCAACGCGACCTGCTGCCGCGCCGTGTCCTCGATCGTACTGTCAGGCGGGCCCTGGCGACCTCGACTCGACGCCCAGCCGCTAGTGACCGCGCCAGCCACCACGCCGAGCCCCTGAGAGGCCAGAGTATCCCTCCAGCGGAGGGCAGGTCAGACCAGCGGCGCCGCACACACGGGCACGGGGCAGGAGGCCAAAGGGCAGGAGCAGTTCGCAGGCGGGCACGCCAGCGAGACTGGCAGGCAGGCAGGCACTGCCGAGAGCACGGCCTGCCTCAGCGCCGCCAGCTCCAGCCCCCGTATGGCGGCTGACTGCAGCGATGGGAAGGACGGGAGGGCAGGAAGCCCCATAAAGCGTAGAAACCCTCCTGCCGAAAAAACTTGAGCCCAGAGGGCCTGCGGCACTCCCCCGCTCCCTAGATCATTCACGTGCTGGCACTAAGCATGCAGAAGGAGGAAGATAGATATGCCCCCTGAAGCCCGAATAGATCGATATGTGCCGCCTGCCGACGTTACCGGAAATCGATCCCCAGGCGGTGGTTCTGGGCAACTTTCCGCCTCGGATATTCGTCCCTCCTCTTTTCTCCTGGGCTCACTCCGCGCCCTCCTGGCGCATCGCCCTGGCGGCGTTCATCTCCAACTCGGAGTCGCCGATGACGGTCAAATTCAGCCGCACACCCTCTGGGCTGCGCAGAGGGAGGGCGCGAGAGAGTGGGAAACAAAAACGGGCAGATCTGAAGAGAGCTCAGGAAAGGACCCCAGAAGAGGTCGAGACGCCAAAGAGGGTCACCAATGGGCCCCCCCCCGAGCGGCCCCATGACGTGCCCAACCTCTCGGCCAACCCGAGAACACTGCCTGATGAGTAGATTTGCATGCTCGTTTTCACCTGAAGGCTCGCAACAATGATTCCAAACGGCCGAGACGCGAATTGGTTGAATAGTGACGCGAGGATTTGGGACGTTCGTTCAGGATAAGGCGACGGCAAATGACATCCTGAAGACCGTGGTGGCTTCTGGAAGCAGTCGAGCATCCTATTCAATGCCCAGGGAAGGCCCAACCGCCCCACACCAGATCCAGGCCATGACCAACGTTTCAACGACCAGCGCCTCGAGGCCATCCCACAATCAATCACTGCCTCGTAGATCGGTGTGCTCGTTTCCCCACGGAGGCCAACTGTGACCCCCGCCATGCGGGCTCGATCTGACAGGTGTCCGATGGTCATCCGGGGACCCTCCACCGAATTTCGATGCATGCAGGCCAACAATCTGAGGATGAGCACGGGGGAATGGGAAAGGGTGAAAATAACGAGGATCGGAGGGCGAGGAGGAGGAGAGGATGAGGTGGTGGTGGGGACAGGAAGGGTAAGCCCAGACCTCTAGGGCGCCAACGTCGCAATGTTTCACAAGATGGGCCCCTGGACCCCTGGACCCATCCTCTAGAGCTGGACTATGTATGTGTCCTTGACGACCCCAGGGCCAGAAAAAAAGGCCTCTGGCTACGAAGAACACATAACATCACAAGACTCTATGTTTTCGGCCCACTGGAGGCCTGGGGGGGATGCGAAGGGGGGGAGTAGGGGAGGAACGAAGAAAGCAGGCCTCGTCTGCGAACTGCTCGCACACGGCTCGGAAAGCCTGCAGCCGCGCCAGCGCCAGTGGTGGCGTAGGACCCGGCAGGACACGGCGGGAGGAACGATTGCAGGACACACGCGCACGCACACTCACACACACACACACACACATTCACACACACGCGCACGCACGCACGCACGCACGCACACACATGCACACACACACACACACACACACACGCAAGCACGCACACGCACGCACACTCACACACACACACACATACGCACAGACACACTGCCCGCCTGCGGCGAGGTGCAGCACGATCGTGTCGCAACACACGCACACGTACCCGCCAACGTGCCCCCTGGCACGCTGAGGCGTGGCAGAATGCCACATACTACCCGCAGGGTTTCTGCAGTCTTCTGCACGGGCCCCCGGCCTCCACATCGAGTACCGCGGGCATCGCCCACCCTCGCCCGAGGCTTCTTCCTCGGCGGCCCGACGCCTGCCTGGCGCTCTCGGGGCTTCCAATTCGTCTCGCTCTAAGGAGTCCACCAGTGCCCGCCAAGACAGCTGCATGTCCCAGGAAACCTCCAAGACGCTCTCCAGGAGGCCCTCGTGATCCCCCGTGTTCAATAGACCTCACGCTCTTTCAGGGCCCCAGACCCAAAACTCACGAGTCCTGAGCGCTTCCAGGAATCCACGCATGACTTCCCCTGTCTGCAGCGCAACTCGGGTTCCAAACTCCGGACTTGTCCTTGCATCGTCGGTTCATCCTGCGACCTTCTCGGCATCCCGTTTGGCTGAGTTAGGGGCTCTGGGGGTTGGCCCGAGAAGCAAAACTGATCCAAAGCCTCATGAGAGCTTCCGTCCTGTTAAAACATTCTCACCCATTCGGCCCGGAAGGCTCCAAACATCACTTCCAAAAATCCCCCCGAGCCCTCAAGGCAGGCCAGTGAGGCGCCCAAGAGGGCCCCAATACGCGCCCGAAAAGTGAGACTCGAAGGGCATATTGGAGCTACCCCTCCCAAGCTGATCCCCAAGACCGTTAGCAGGCCCTCCACACGCCCCCTGAGAGCCACGAAGGACGCCGCCAAGAGGCCCCCAAATGGCCTCCCGAGGCTCCCAAACGGTCCCCAAAATATCTCCAAGAGGCCCCCACCAAGTACCCCAAAATACCCCAACCAGCCTCTGATCCACGACCCTCCTCACTCGTCAATCCTCGTCCTGCTACCCTTCCTCACTCCCCCCCTCGCACTCCTCATTCTTTCCTCCCCGAACTCCCTTTTCGATCACGATTCCTTATCCACCGTCGTGCTGTAGGCACTGGGCAGAGTGCCCTCAAGCCACTCCGAAAGCTCTACGCTTTACAAGAGGCCCGGACCCTGGAGTTCCGGGCGCCCTTACGCGCTAAGTACTGGGGAGAGGCTCCCAAGACGACCTCTGGAGGCCCAGGTGTCCGCGTCCCCTCGAGGCAGGGCAAACCAGAGGCCCCCAAGAGGCCCGCACAGGCCCCGACGAGGCCCCTCGGAGGCCCTCAAGAGTCTGCCATGCTGGAATCCCCGAGGAGGCCCGAAGAGGGCTCCAAGAGACCTCCTGCCTCTCACACTCTCTCATTTTTTTTTTTCTCTCTTTCTCTCTCTCTCTCTCTCACACACACACGCACGCACGCACGCACGCGCACACAGACACATAAACACACACACACGCACACACGCACACACACACACACGCACACACACACACACACACACACTACAAACACACTCACACACCTACACGCCTACACGCCTACACGCCTACACGCACACACACACACACAAAAAAAATCAATGCAAAGAACATTTGCAGCCCGTGCACGGAAAAAAAGATTATCCCGGCAAAGCAACCTAACAGCGATGTGTAGGAGCATATCTGGAAGCATTCCCCTTAAGATTCAGATGAGAATCCAGTTGTAGAATTCTGCTGTTCTCGCAGTCGTAGTCGCATTCGCGATGACAGTCGCAGTGGCAACGGCAGCAGTCACAGCCTCAGCCTCAGCAGCCTCAGCCTCAGCCTGCCTCAGCCTCAGCCTGCCTCAGCCTCAGCCTCAGCCTGCTTCAGCCTCAGCCTCAGCCTGCCTCAGCCTCAGCCTGCAGCCAGCCTCAGCCTCAGCCTCAGCCTGCCTCAGCATCAGCCTGCCTCAGCCTCAGCCTCAGCCTCAGCCTGCCTCTGCCTCAGCCTCAGCCTGCTTCAGCCTCAGCCTCAGTCTGCCGTCGGCCTCGGCCTCAGCCTCAGCCTGCCTCAGCCTCAGCCTGCATCAGCCTCAGCCTCAGCACGAAGCGACCCAGCTAGAAGGACAAAGCGCTGAATGTACACCGATGTGTTCGACGACTGCGTATGTAATGATGTGACGATATACAGACTGAGCCCTTCGTGAATGTCTACATGTTTTTCTGACGCCTACAAACGGCGCTGACGTGTGTGAGAAAATTGTCCGCGCAGCAAAAGCCGGCGAAGCGTGCGGGAGCTCGCATGCTGAGACAGACTACGTCTGCAGACCGCCAGCTGCAAAAGGTTGCGAGCGGCTCTTGGAAGATGTTTACGGAACGGAGCTACGGTGTCTGAAAACATTGGCATCGAAGCGAAGAGCCTCGGAGCCCTGCAACCTGAGAAACACCGCAGGAACTCGCATACTGAAAAGGAATGCATTGCAAACCGCACGCTGCGAACCCTGCAGGCTGAGAAGCACCGCAGGATGTCGCATGCTGAAAAGCACTTGTACTGCAGAGCGCTAGCACTCCATCTCGGGCTCGGACCCCCCCGTCCTGATCCAGAACGTGTCCGGCCACGGCCTGAAAATGCCGTTCCAACTCCCGAGGATCAGCTGGCACTCCGGCTCTGGGACACTCCAGTACGTCTTGAGCACCTTGAGCCAGGCCCCATCTCGGGATCCCCACAGCACGCTGTACTTGACCGAGACCGTGCCGAACTCATAACAATTGACCTCCGAAGGACCTGCGAGTGCAGGCTGAGAAACACCACGCGATTGCAGGGCACGGCATTGCGTGTCACATGAGTGCAGGCTGAGAAGCACCACATCTCGTTTGCCAGAGATCACTCCCAGGTTATTTGATCCCGCAACGCCAGCCACGGCGTAGCTGCCACAGGGGCCGCAGATAGCAACGGTTCGGTCACCCAATTGGCGTTCCGGTGAGTCACAATTCGCGTGTGGCTCCACGAGCCTGTGTAGCGCGATTTGCGGGGCACCAGTGTGCTGTAGGTGTTGTTGCCGTAGCAGAAGACGGCCTCTGGAGCCCAGTGCGGATTCCAGCGGACAGCGTAGACCCTGTGGACGCCATTGCGGATGACGTCGCGCGCATCTTCGATATGTGCCACCCATCGAAGCCAGTCAAATGCTGAGCCATCGGTGATGTCAACAGCACCTGGGGCAGTCTCGCCATGGTGGTAGTGCAACAGCGATTGGAGAGCGGCGCTGGCTTCGTCGCGGCCCACAATCTGGCGCGAGCAGGCTGCCTCTTGCAGGTGCTCCTGTGTGAAGAGCAGTGGGGCATCACCGCCAGTCTCGGCAGGCTGAGCAGCGCCACCGTCAGGCACGGCAGTCTGAGCAGCGCCGCCACGAGGAACATGAGGCTGAGCAGCGCCAGGCTCAGGCACGGCAGGCTGAGCAACGGCGCGTGGTGGACCGACATAGGTGGGCTCATCGGGTCGGCCGTTCTTATGGTAATGCAGGCGCATGGCTGAACCGTCTGCACGACGGAACTCGAAGAAGTGCCTGCCGTGGCCATCCGTGTTGGAGTAGTTAGGGTCGCGCTCTGTCTCGATGATGCGAAAGAGAACCTGGGCGATGCCCTGCCCGATTATGCGCTCAGCGAAACCCGGAGCGGCAGACCGAAGCAGTTGCTTCCAGTCGTAGGACGGGTCGTTTGTTACGTCTTTGAACGACAAGTTGTTGACAATGCACTCGGCGCGCAGCGCGCGCTGCCACTGGCAGGCGGTCTTGCCGCCCATCCCTGGTGTGCGGCGGATGTCTTCGAGGTGAGCCTGCTCAAAGACCACGTCGACACCTGGCTGAGGAGTCGGTGCGGGCGGATCCGGCAGAATCCCCCACGGGCCATCGCACGGGGCCGGGGGTGGCGGGGGCGATGCCTTGCCGCGTGCTGGCATTGTGACAAGGCAGGCTGAGGAGCACCGCCGCGGCTGGACGGCCAGGTGAAACTCGAGCAAACATGTGGCTACAGCTCTAAGCAAAATGGCTACGAGGAGGTTAAGGATGATGATGATGGTGTTGATAGGAAACCCGGCATCAGCGAGTTGATGTACAATGAGGTGTCCGCAAACGAGACACTGCTGTCAACGCTGTTATAACTAACCACAAACGAGACACTGCTATCAACGCTTGCACAATTAAAAAGAAACGCTGGCATTGACACTACTAGCAATACCAAAGTGGAGTTTAAACGAGGCACTGCCATCAACCGATTCAACTTCCAATAAAAGAAGATCACAAATGAGTTCACTCTGAAGTGACCCATGGCTATCAATGCGAGAAGTCTCTGCAAACTATTCACTCATGGCGACCGCCGCGCACACGCGTGTAGGAAATCGTTGATGATGATAGTGGTAATGGAGTGGGGGCCAGTAATGCAGATACACTGCTGTGCATTCACTTGCTGCGAAAAGAAACTCTGTATGAATGAGTTGATATATAATGAGTTGTCCACAAACGAGACACTGCTATCAACGCTTGTATAAGTAAAAAGAAACGCTGCTATCGACACTTCCCCCAATACTAAAGTTGTCTTTAAACGAGTCACTGCCATGAACGGCTTCAACTACAGTGTAACGAAAGGAACTGCAGGCTGAGAAGCACCGCAGGCCAACGTGAACCAGTCGTGGTGATGAGGATGAGTGAAATCTGCGATGATGATAGCGATCATGAAGTCGGTTGTAGGAACCCACTTTTGTAGTAACCAACATACACTGGTATGCATTCACTTATGGTGAAAGGAAACTCGGTATCAGTGAGTTGATATAGAATGAGTTGTCCGCAAACGAGACAC